CTACAATCCCAGAGGCGCACGGTTCGAATCCACCAGATGCTCTGCCGGGGAAGGAGGGACAATCTCCTCCTGTACCAGTCAGATCTGATTTGACGGTACATGCACAAACACAAATAATAAAAATAAAAAAAAATGTTCTGCTTCTGTCATTTGACAGTTAGCCCATTTGTCTGGGGTATTATTTGGTGTAAGGGTATAAGAGTCACTATACCCTGGGTGAGATGGTTTGACTGGGGTCATGGGAGTAGATGTATCATACATGGGTCATGAGGTTGGCCTAGGACACACCAGGGTTCGGAGCTGTTGTGCATAGGGTAGCTATGAATCACAGGCAACACCAAGCCCACATTTTTAATAGCTTCCTGTCCAGACCTTTTATCTACGGGCCTCTTGAAGTACTTGCATTTTGCCAAAGAAAAGCCTTTTTCCTTTCCCCCATCAACTGAAATTAAGCTCTCGTGGGTGGGAAGGAGTTTCACTGTCAGGCCCCAAAAGACACCATTGGATTCACCTTTTCAGAGGCAAAAATCATGATAGGGAAGGTCTTCCCTTGCAATTTTCTGTCTCTGTAAATGCTCAGACTGTCTCCTATGAGCTCTTATGAGCCTGAATGCCTCTGTGTTGGTCTTTCTGTGAAATTCTTATCTTGAGGGAATTTTCTACCCACAAGGGATTAGGAGAAAGGGATTATGGGAGGAGAAAGGAGAGGTTGGAGGAAGAAAGAGAGTATGAGAGAAAGAGAGGGAAGAGGACATATATGTAATTGTTATTGTTATGTGCCATCGAGTCGCTTGTGACTGACAGCAGCCCTATACAGCTCTAAACCGTGCTCTATCTTGTGCCAATCGCACTGTCTCTGACAAACCCATCACAATTACCGCAGTTACTAAATCAATCCACCTCATAGAGGGCCTTCCCCTCCTGCGCTGTCCCTCCACCCTCCCAAGCATGATGCCCCTTTCCAAGGACCTGTCCCTCCTTACAACATGTCCCAAATATGTCAGACGAAGCCCCAGAATCCTTGCCTCCAAG